GTTCTCAATGTGAAGAAATCAAGTGAGAGCAAAAGATAGTAAAATTACTTAAGAAAGAATACAAAAAAGTTCTTGAAAAATCAAAGACTAAGTCAGAACTCAACTCAACAGCCAACATTGCAACATAAATGCGTTTAAAAAAAAAAAGAAAAGAAAAAAAAGGACAGAATGTTGGAACAGCGGCGGCCAGGCCTAGAGTGGCCAGGCACAAGGCAGTGGCAGCCAGGCCCGGAGCAGCAACGGCCAGGCCCCAGAGCAGCAGCAGCCAGAACCAGAGCATCAACAGCCAGCACTGGAGCAGCCAGACCTGGGGCAGTGGCAGCCAGGCCTGAGGTGGAGGCGGCTAAGCCCAGGGTGTCCAGTTCAGGAACACCCAAACCCGGAGTGGCCGGGCCCGGAGAAGCCGGGCCCAGAGCAGCCGGGGTGGGAGCAGCCAGACCCAGAACAGCAGTAGCCAAGCCCAGAGGATCCAGGCTGGGAGTGCCCAGGCTCGGAGCGGCCGGGCCCCGGGCAGCCGGGCCCAGAGCAGCCGGGTTGGGTGCGGCCAGGCCCGGAGCAGCAGCTGCCAGGCTGGGAGTGGCCAGGCCCGGAGCAGCTGGGTCGGGTGCGGCCAGGCCCGGAGCAGCGGCAGCCAGGCTGGGAGCGGCCAGGCCCGGGGGAGCAGCCGGGGCTGGTGCGGCCAGGCCCGGAGCAGTGGCTGCCAGGCTGGGAGCGGCCAGGCCCTGAGCAGCAGGAGCCAAGTCCAGAGCAACTAGGTCGGGAGCGGCAGTGACCAGACCTGGAACAGCTGGTTGTGAAACGAACCAGAGCAACAGAGGCCAGGCCCTGAGCAGCCAGGCCCGGAACAGCTCGCTCCTCGCCTGCCCCTGCCCCACGGCTGCCTCTCAGACATGGCTGGAAACTTTCGTGGGAACTTGAGGGTCCTCTGAATCAAGTGATGAAGGCTTAGATCTGGATGTGTTGAGTTAGTATAGGGCTGGGGTGTTGATCTGTGAGTGCCTTGGGTGGGGCCTGGATGAGGCTGGTGGACCTATTGGGAAATGTCTTTTGTGTGAAGTGTATCATTGGGCATGTGGAGGTATTATTGATTTGAGAAAATGCTAAGTAACTGATTTACTATCTGAAAAGGGATTTACTATTGGGGAAAGGGAGGGAGGAAGAGACTGAACATAAACTGTGCACCTATGGATGAGGACAATGGGGGATGGGGAGGGGGCGGAGAGTGGGGTGGGAACCTGGTGGAGGGGGGAAGAAATGAGGAACCTTTGTAATAATATGAACAATAAAGATTGATAAAAATAAATAAATAAATAAAATTAAAAAAATAATAATAATAATAAATAAAACAATTTTAAATGCCAAAAAAAATTAAAAGAAACAAAGAAATAGCATCAACCCAGGACTCCCAGAGAGGGAATGGAGAGCTGCAAAGCTGCAAATGCGTGTGCGGCTGAAGGCAATGCATCCAAGGGACCGAGAGTTCAGGGCACCTGAGGACACACATCTCCAGATTGCACACCTAAGGCAATGTGTGGAAGGCAAGCAAAGAAGGGACAAGACAACCGACTCCAGGAAGACAAAGTTTGTACAGGTGTGGTTTTTAGACATAACAAAGAGCCTACTGAGCTCGTCTGTGACGAAGGTTGGGGTGTCTGTGTGACAGGAACCAAGCTCCATCAACCCTCCCAAGTGGAATCAGAGGGTGCCACCTGGAAAAAGAAGGTCAGCACCAACACAGTCTGCTGCGAGGATGAACTGCCTGCGGGAGAGCAATGGGGCGTGGCTGTCTTTTGCAAATATGAGTTACCACATATGCAGCTGTAATTCATAAAAGACAACTTTGAAAACATGAATATAAAAAATTCAAAGTTTCAAAAGTACTTGTTGAATAACTCTTACAGGGAAATTTCTAAGCTAAGGTGGTACATTAGTACAGGAAACACTTATTATTTTGCAAGAGTCTTTTATGCTGAAACTTATTTATCTTTTCCAGTTTATTTTGGAAGTATGATGCTCATAAAACTCATTAAAGCAACAATAATCTGAAAGCATTAGTATATTGTTCAAATGGAAATTCCTCATTTAATAACTATTAGTTTTTAGTTATACAATGATCACCTTAAAAAGTTTCAGAAATCGCCGAAGCCGGTTTGGCTCAGTGGTAGAGCGTCGGTCTGTGGACTGAAAGGTGCCGAGTTTGATTCCGGTCAGGGGCATGTACGTTGGTTGCAGGCACATCCCCGGTAGGGGGCGTGCAAGAGGCAGCTGGTCGATGTTTCTCTCTCATAGACATTTCTAGCTCTCTATCTCTCTCCCTTCCTCTGTAAAAAATCAATAAAATACATTTTTTTAAAAAAGTTTCAGAAATCTTGTAAAAAGTTAGAGGCCCGGTGCAGCTCAGCCTGCACCCTCTCCAATCTGGGACCCCTTGAGGGGTTGGGCCTAAATGGGCAGTGAGACATCCCTCTCACAATCCAGGACTGCTGGCTCCCAACTGCTCGCCTGCCTGCCTTCCTGATTGCCCCTAACCACTCTGCCTGCCAGCCTGATCACCCCCAACTACTCCCCTGCCAGCCTGATTGATGTCTCACTGCTCCCCTGCCTGCCTGTTTGTCCCCAACTTCCCTCCTCAGCCGGCTTGGTCACCAACTGCCTTCCTCTGCAGGGTTGATCACCTTCAACTGCCCTCCCTTGTAGGCCTGGTCCCTCTCAACTGCCCTCCCTTGCAGACCTGGTCCCTCCCAACTGCCTCCCCTGCTGGCCATCTTGTGTCCACAGAGGGGCAGGTTCTTTGACCATATGGGGGGCAGCCATATTTTGTGTTGGAATGATGGTCAATCTGCATATTACTCTTTTATTAGATAGAATAGAGACCTGGTGCATGGGTGGGGGCCAGCTGGTTTGCCCTGAAGGGTGTCCTGGATCAGAGTAGGGGCTTCCTTGGGGCATGGGGCAGCCTGAGGGGCCTGTGGTGGTTTGCAGGCCAGCCAGGCCCCCCAGCGACCCAAGCGGAGACCCTGGTATCTGAGATTTATTTATCTTCTACAATTGAAATTTTGTAGCCTGGAGCATAGCCAAGCCTTCTGCTTGTTCAGTGGTGGCAGCCATTTCTGTTTGGATTTGTTTACCTTCTATAATTGAAACTTTTTAAAAAATATATTTTATTGATTTTTTATAGAGGGGAAGAGAGAGGGATAGAGGGATAGAAACATTGATGAGAGAGAATCATCGACCAGCTGCCTCTTGCACACCCCATACCGGGATGTGCCCGCAACCAAGATACATGCCCTTAACTGGAACCGAACCTGGGACCCTTCAGGCCACAGACCGACGCTCTATCCACTGAGCCAAACCGGTTTCGGCTGTAATTGAAACTTTGTAGCCTTGAGTGGAGGCCTACGCCGGCAAGGGCAGGCGGAAAGCTTGGCTTCCTTCGTTGCCTGAACAACGCCTCCCTCCTGCTCTCTGCGGCTGTAGTCATCTTGGTTGGGTTTATTTGCATACTCTCTCTGATTGGCTGATGGGCATGGCTTGTGGGTGTGGCTTTGTGGAGCTAAGTGATGGTAAATTTGCATATTACTCTTTTATTATGTAGGATTCTTTCCAAGAAATAATTAAAGGCATTTTGAGAATTATGACATTACTAGAGACCCAAGTGCACAAAATTCGTGCAGGTGAGGGAGGTCCCTCAGCCCAGCCTGCACCCTCTCCAATCTGGGACCCCGCAAGGGATGTCCGATTGCCTGTATCGCCTAAACAGGCAGACATCCCTCTCACAATCCAGGACTGCTGGCTCCCAACTGCTGCCTGCCTGCCTTCCTGATTGCCCCTAACCACTTCTGCCTGCCAGCCTGATCACCCCCAACTACTCCCCTGCCAGCCTGATTGATGCCTGCTTCCCTGCCAGCCTGTTTGCCCCTAACTGCCCTCCCCTTCAGGCCTGGTGCCTCCCAATTGTCCTCCCCTGCTGGCCTGATCACCCTCAACAGCTCTCCCTTGCAGGCCTGCTTCCTCCCAATTGCCCTCCCCTGATGGCCATCTTGTGTCCACATGGGGACAGGATCTTTTGCCACATGGGGGCAGCCATATTGTGTTGGTTTGACAATTTGCATATTACTCCTTTATTAGATAGGATAGAGGCCAGGTGCATGGGTGGGAGCCAGCTCATTTGCCCTGAAGGGTGTCCAGATCAGGGTGGGCATTCCGTTGGGGCATGGGGCAGCCTGGGCAAGGGGCCTGTGGTGGTTTGAAGGCCGGCCACATTCCCCCAGTGACCCAAGTGGAGGCCCTGGAATTTGGGATTTATCTTCTATAATTGAACCTTTGTAGCCTGGAACAGAGCCAAGCCTCCTGCTCGCTCCATGGCAGTAGCCATTTTTGTTGGGATTTATCTCCTATAATTGAAACTTTGTAGTCTTGAGTGGAGGCCTGGGCCTGCTAGGGTGTGTAAGAAGTGTACCTTCCTCCATTGCTAGGGAGCCTCCTGCTTGCTCTGTGGCTGCAGCCATCTTGGTTGAGGTTAATTTACATATTTGCTCCTGATTGGTAGGTGTGGCTTATGGTGTAGTGGAGTGATGGCTAATTTACATATTGCTCTTCCATTAGATAAGGTTCCATAAACAAAAGGTTAGATTAATAGAGCACTTTAGAGAGTAATCCTCATTTATCAACAAAATAAATTTAAATATTCAAGAATATGCTACTAATTTGCCTACCAGGATTCAAATGTGAATTAATGGGCCTTTTATTTATCTTAAATATATTTTATTGATTTTTTTTTTTTTTCAAAGAGGAAGGGAAAGGGAGAGTTAGAAACATCAATGAGAGAGAAACATTGATCAGCTGCTTCCTACACACCCCCTACTGGGAATGTGCCCGCACATGCCCTTGACTGGAATGGAACCTGGAATCCCTCAGTCTGCAAGCCGACGCTCTATCCACTGAGCCAAACCGGCCAGGGCAAATTAATGGGCTTTTTAATTGGTATACATGTCTCATTTCTAACAAATGACACATTTTGCATATATGTATTTAGAAGAGAAATAAACATAAAGATAAAGCATGAATAAGTCAACAACAGTCCCAGCGTGTGCTGCTTGAGCAGCGAGTCTCAGGCACACACTTGTGGCCCCTTCACTCTGACATGGCAATGAGAAAAACTCAGAACAAAGAAATGGCCAGTCAGTTGAGGTCAGACTGCAACTAGAATCCTTCAGGGCACTGCTTAGTCTCCAAGGAAGGATCTGGGGGTGCTGGGGGAGCAACACACTTCCCAGGGAGCCCTGTCCTGTGCACATGCTGGACCCGTGTTGGCTAGCCTGGGTCCCCTGGGGGCTATCCAGCTGTGACAACATGTGTGGAGGGCAGACAGCAAAGCCTGAGTTCTGAAGGCCCAGGTGGAAGCTGAGCCACTGCTGCCAAAGGAACCTTTGTGGTCAGAGAAGGCCCGGTGACATCTGAGTTGTAAGGAAACTCATGGGAACCCAGCTGTCCAACAAGGTTTTACTGAGCACCTACTCTGTGCAGCACCGCACTAGGCGCCATGGAGAATAAAGAGAAATACAAGATATGGTGCCCGCCCTCCAAGAGCTTACAGAACTAGTCAGAAGTCAGACGTGCGTGATGGAGGCAGCATGTGGCCTGGAGGGTGTGCTGGCGAAGAGGGCACTGTGGTCCAGCGGTGAGAGCAGCCGCTCAGGGCAGAGCAGGCAGAGTGCTCGCCATGGAAGGCAGCTTCGAGGAGATCTGGCTGGAGCAGGGAGCTTGTGGGCACTATGGGGCCTGGACAGAGGCTGGGACCAGGGCCGGGCTTGTGGGCAGATTTGCTTTAATTCCTCTCGTGACATAAAGGCATGTGGGCCTGTGGACACCCTCTGCCTGCTCTCCCCAGCCTGAGCCCGGAGGATGGGGGCGGGGCGGGAGCCGAGCGCCCCACTGGAGAAGCTGGTCCAGCCCTGTGGCGGGGAGGCTCTGCTCAAGGGGATGTTCACCCTGTGCTTCCAGATGGACCACGAAGAGCAAGGCATCCTGGGTGTTTACAAACTCTCCAAACCAGGACCAACCCAGAGCTCACTGGTCACAACTGTCATCCCAAAGCCAAGTAAGTAGACCATCCCCGAGACCCCGTGGCGGCAGGAGCCCCACCGCCACTGCCTGGACCGCCCGGCACAGCCCTGGTCTCCGAAGAGCGTGACCTCTGTCCTCCACACGAGATCTCCGCTCAGCGACTCCAGTGCCAGGAGGCCTCACTGCCTTTCCCTCCGTCCGTTTGCAGCCTTTTCCAGATGTTTCCCTCCGCGTCGGGCCAGGGAAGGCAGCAGGGTGGACGGGGTGAGGGAAGCTATGGGTCTGGGGACAGCAGTGACCAGGGTAGGACAGGCCACTCATCTTTTCCAAGGACACGTGGCACGGAACGCTATGCTGGGCAAGGAAGTGCTGCCTGGCCTCTTACTCGCCGACGGGGCAGGGCTGGGTCAAAGGCCCGGGAGGGCGGGAGGGGCCGGGTGGCAGTTGGCACAGGACCCAGGAGGCGGGAGAAGAGGCGCCCTGCAGAGTGGTGGAGCAGCAGCGGCCGTGGTCTCTCCTCTCCCGCCATCAGGCGCTGGGCCAGGCACCTCCTCCCGCCCTCAGTCCTGGCATTCCAGAGGAGACGGTGGGGGGCGGCAGGCAGTGGGCTCAAGGTCTCAGCAGGAGGCGTGTTCCGGGCCACTTGAGCCACAGGAAGGGGACCAGGCGCCGGGTGAAGGTGGCCGTGAAGGTGTGCAGCAGCTCCTGCGACTCGGCGTTGGTGAAGGTCACAGTGCCCCCCTCGTAGTCCAGGGCGATGCCCACTCTGCGGGGCCGCGCTGCCGGGAAGAGCTCGGCCTCAGGGTCCGTGTTGGCCCAGATGCCAGCGGAGGAGAGGCGCAGCGCCCACACCCCGTCCTCCGGCCGCAGGGAGAGGTCTCCCTTCCTCCTCACAGAGTCTCTGGCCACGCCCACCATGCAGCTTTCCAGAACTTCCTCCTCTTCCTCCTCTTCCTCTTCTTCTTCCCCCAGCGATTCCTCATCCTCATCTGTTTCCCAGTTGTCGTATCCATAGCCAGCCTCTTCCTCCTCCTCTTCCCCCTCCTCCCCCTCTTCCTCCTCGTCCCCATCCTCTTCATCCTCGGACCAGCCCTCCCGCTCCACCTCCACTTCCCAGTAGACCCTGCCCCAGGTGAAGCCCTTGCTGCCCAGCACGGCCGGCTCGCAGTCAAACCGCTGGGGGTGCAGGTAGGCGCAGCGGTACAGGCCGCTGTTGTAGGCCACACACTTGCAGTCCTCCGACAGCAGCAGGCTCCCGCTGGCGGACTGCGGGTCCAGGGTGACGCTCACTGCGGGACGGAGGAGGGGTGAAGGGTCACCCGTGGGACACCGCCTCCACGGTGTCCATGGCAGGGCTGCCACACTGCACCATCCCAGGGGCCAGTCACACCGTGTCCCAACGCAGGGCACGCCCTGGCCTAGGCTGCCCTCCCAGCGGGCTCCGAATACGGAAGCATGTGACCAGGCCGATGAGAGGAAACTGAGTCAGGGAAGGGATGGCGGCAGGCCCCATGAGGCTGGGAAACGCGGCCACGGCCACGGGGCAGAGAAGGCCAGACCGTGCGGTGGCACCTGCCCTGCGGCGGAGGGCAGACAGTGGCCCGAGATGAAGTGGGGCTGAGCTCTGCCCTGGGAGATTCTCCTGTGGCCCGAGGGGACGCCCAGCAGGGACAGCCACATCTCTGGGGACCCCCTGCTGGACACTCACCGGTCTTATATTCCAGGTCTCTCAGCAGCTTCCCTGCGGAGAAGGACAGCGATGGCAGGGGCCCAGCACTGCTCACTGCTCCTCCACGCAGCCTCAGGCCCCGAGAGCGGCCCTCCCGCGTCCAGCCCAGCCGCCCCCTCCCGCCTCGGGCCCGGGCGATCCCCAGCCTCACCCTGGAATTCTCGCAGGCCTCGCTGCAGAGACACGAGTTTATCTGAGAATTCTCCCGTCCTTTTCTTCACCACCCGAGCAATGGGTTTTCCGAGCCAGAACTTCTTCCGCGGGTACCTGAGGAGGAGACCCAACCTCCGCTGCTCTCACATTCCTCGGCCCTCAGAACAGGCCTGAGGGGGAGGAACCGGAACCCCCCCCCCCCCCCCCCCGCCCCCAGACAGAGGAACAGGCCAGAGGCAGAGCTGCGAGTGTCAGCAGACTCAACCCCAGAGCCCTTCAGCTCTCCCCTCAGGCCGAAGGGGGCGCCACAGAGAGCTTGCTCTGTGGGCAGCGAGACTGGGGTTCAGGTGGTTGTTGCTTCCCAGGAGGAACCGTCTCACTCCCCGTTCATAAGGTCAAGGAAAAGGGGCAGGGAGTCCGGGCGCAGGCGGGGCGAACACACTCGGGCCAAGAAGCTGTTACCTGCTCAGGAAGTCCCTGGCGTCCTGGAAGGAAGAAAGCACAGGCTCAGCGGTGGGACCTCACTCACCTGCGCACGCGGTTCTGGGGGAGTGTTGGTAAAGGAACAAAGCAATGAGAGCCCCTGGGGCGCCGGCACGGTGCAGCGGGCGGGCTTCCCTGCCTGACAGCACCGCAGACGCAGACAGGGGAGGTGCTGGCAGTGAAGGAGGGGAGGTGGGACGGGATGGCGAGGAAGGCTGAGCAGGGACACCAGGGAGCTCAAACTTCGTTCCTCTGACCGTGGCACACACGCTGGGTTTCAGGAAGGGGAGCTTTCACGTGGCTGTGGCTCCAGGACCCATTCTCCCCTCTTCCTGTTAGTGACGGGACCCACAGAAACTCCATTTCCCACAGTCCCGGTGACCAGGTCTGGTCTGAGACGAAGCTCCAGCCATGAGACCTCTGTGAGCCCCACTTTACAGCACAGCTGAGGACAAGGCCCTCGAGGTGAGTGGAACCAGAGGAAGTCACAGCGCTGACGAGCTCACAGCCCTGACAGTCCAGGCCCCCCACGGCACACTCCTGAGGGACAAACGCCCGTGTTCCGCCGGTCCCGAGCCCCGCCCCCGCCCCCTGGCGTCCTGAGCTCGGCGAGGGAGCCGCCTGGGGCTGCTGCTGTGGACGGGGGGACGCAATGGGTCGGAGCCACCGCGGCAGGGGATACGGGCCATGGCTGGAGGAGGGAGACCGGGCTGCCGTGGGTGACAGAGGGTGGAAGGCGAGGGGTTCTCACGAGGAGCTGGTTATTCCCTTGTGAGTCTAGAGCCTCCGCAGCTGTCTACATTTCACTCACAAACCCTGAGCGCCTCCTACATGCCAGCCCGGCAATAGCAGCCGGGCACAGCCGTGAAGAGCTGCCACTCTCCCGTTAGAGGGACCTGCAGGCAGGCAGAGGCCAGCGGTCGCCACCACGAAGCTTTACATTCCGGGATCACGGAGGCGGGCCAGGGAGAGCAGCAGGAGGAAGAGCCGAGCGGAGGGGCTGGGAGGGCAGAGGTTTGGGGACCGAAAGCACGGGCGGTTGTGGCTGCTGCTGACAGTCCAGAACGTCTCGGGAAGCAGCGGGTCTGCTGCAGGGAAGGACAGGAAAGAGGTCAGCAGCTGCCAGAGCCCACTCCTTCCTCAGAGCAGGAAGTCCAAGCAGCTGGAGGGCTGGTGGCAGGTCTGAGGCAGTGAGTGCCGAGGCTGCAAAGGGATGTGGTGCAAAAGGGCCAACAGATGGGCAGTGGGAGCCGCTTACGGGGTAAAGGTGCTGAGTGGCCGGAGAGGGTGAGACCGGACAGCAGTGCAGGAACCCTCCTCCCCAAGGACACGAGGGGACCAGAGGGTGCAGGCCACCTGCAGCCCCAGCCTCGCACAGCAGGTGGTGAGGCAGGCAGCGCCAGGGGAGCGGATGAGAGCATCGCAAAGGCCTCTTCCCAGGCAAGGAAAGCAACCGCACGGGCACCTGGAGGTCTGCCCAGGGCTGGACGGAGAGGACACCCATGCCTTCCAGCCACTTCTCCCTTCCCCCTTTAGCACCGTGAGGTCCCCAGCCCAGAGAGCCTCCTCTCCTTTCCTGCTTCCTGTCACCGGTGGCCCTAGCAGACCTTGGGCTTCCTGCCCACTGGCGTCAGGAACCCTGGGAAGTATGACAACCAAGGGGTTGGCTGACCAGCAAAATCTAAACAAACACAGACAACACCCAGCGGCCTATTTCCTCACCGGCTTGGGGCAGACACCCACCTCTCCCCACCCAGCCCGGCAAGGATTCCATCTGAGGCTCTTGGGGGCCCGGAAGGCTGGGCCTCCGCTGCCCGCACAGCTCCTGTGGGTGAAGTGGTAGCACCATAGCACCAGCGCCCCCTGCTCCATGCACAGCGCTCGGGCCAGTGGGGGCTGTGGGGAAGGAAGGAGGGTCGTCCCTGAAGGGGAAGGAGAAGACGCGGGGAGGGGAGAGGCAGCAAATGGCCCAGCCAGCCTCTGAGAGCAAGCTGAGGCAACAGAACAATGTCTGTAGGGAAGGGAGGAGCAGACACACACAAGAGAAAAGCATGAGAGCAGAGGCGGGACTGAGGCACCGGCGGCTCTCTGGCCCTCAGCGGCCACGTGCGGGCTGCGCTGAAGGACCAAAGCCCTGCCAGTCCGAGTCCTGCATTCACGAGGACGGAGGGCGAAGCCTCTGCCGCCCAGGTCCGTGCTGGCCCAGATGCCGAGAATGTGCCCTGCGCTCTCCACCAGCTACAGGCTTGCCTGCCGCTGGCCTGGAGCAGCATCTCCCAGGCCGACACACACCTCCCAGCCACCCGCCCGCGCAGGGGGAGGGACCGCCACCTCAGCCTCCCTGGCCCACAAGAGCAGAGGGGGGCGGGCCCCCACGACGCTGAGCCCTGCCTCAGGACCACTCCTCTGGGAGGCTCGGAGCTTGGACTTGTGGGGCCATTTCAGCTTGGGACACATGTCTGCCCTCTGGTCCAGGCCTCCTCCTTTCTCAGCAACTCACCTGTGTCCATCTCTGCTCTGCAGTGGCTCCGAGTCCCAGAGAGAAACCTACACTGATCCTCCGGCCCTCTCTGTCACCTCCCCTCCTCCCCCCCCAGCTTTCAGAGCTTCGGCTCCAGAGCCACAAAGAGCTTCCATGGGCAAGTCTCTGCCAGGGTGTGAGACTTGTCAGAAGACAGGCTCATGATGCAGGCTCATGATAAGGATGGAAGATACCAATGAAAATACTGGTAACCTTCCGCTTCATCTCAATATTTTTAAACTCTGTAGGAAATTTACTCTTTGAAGTGACACCATGCCAGCCATCGCATGCTGGAGGCTAATTCCAGCAGTTCATAATGTGCAAGAAGTTCATCAAAAGGCTGATGAACCATGGGGCTTCAGCAGGGCTGAAGATCTGCATGCTATTGCCTGCTGCCAGACAGCTAAGGGCAGTTCCCAACCTGATTATCCCAACCTGATAATCCTTTATTGTTCCCCAAACCTTACCTTTGGTCTGTACACCTTCTTTGCTACAGGGAAAATGTGTTAATAAAAAGCCAGGGGGTCCAGAGATTCCAAGAGCTTAATCACCAGAACTAAGTTTCCATCTGGCCCTCCAAAATGACTTCCAAATTCATATTTCTTGTCTAGTCTCTCTCATTCATTTATGCACAGCCCCTTCTCCAGATTCCTTGAACCCTGGGAGATGCTGAGAAAGACCCGGGCAATCACACTTTATGCTCAAGCAACCACTGGAATGAGTGGGCAGAGCAGGGTTAGCAGCCCATGTTTCAGAGAAGAAAGCCAAGGCCCCCACGGCCCTGCAGGCCATAGCAGGACAGGGCCTGCTGCCCTGTGCCCAGCCCTGGTGCCCGGCCCTGCCCCGGAAGGTTCTCACCTGCATGAGCTCTGCAGCCGGCTGCTGGGCCTTGCCCTCCAGCTCGGAGATGACCAGCGCCAGCCGGGCCAGCTCCCCGCTGCCCCTAGCCTGGCACTTCTCCCTGCCCTCGGCGAGCTCCTGCTCCAGCCTGGCCAGCTGGTCCAACAGGTGCTGCTCCCGCTCCCGAAGGAACTGGTGGCCCTGCGCAAACGCGGCCACGACGTGCTGCCTCTGCTCCCGGAGCTTCTGCTGCGGGTGGAAGGGCAAGGGTGACGCGCCGCCTGGCGGAGGAAAAGCCCTGCAGGGCCTCGTGTGAGCGGCCAGCGGCTCCTCTCCTGCCTCGGATCCCAAGCTCAGGATGGGGGCCTTTCGCGCATCCCTGGGCCGACCTCCCTCCCCAAAGCAGCCAGTCAGTCACAGCCAGGCACAGAGCAGGACCTGAGGGCTGGAACTCTGCCTGCCTGCTCAGCCTGTTCCGGTTCCAGAACAATATGTTCCGGGGCCTCCTGAACACTGGTCTCCACCGCCACCTCTTCCAGGAACTCGCTGACTGCTCTCCTACAAGCCGACCAACCCTCGCTCCAGCACCGGGCCCTCAGCGAGTCTGCACAAGGTCTGTGCTCAGGGACCATGACCCGCTGCCTCCGAATCTCACTGCAAGTCCAGGCGGGAATCTGGTCAGTGTCCTTGCGCCCGCTGACAGAGGGTGGGCTGCGTCCACATTCAGCAGGGCCTGGAGGTGCTCCTTGAAGTTTTGCTGTGTCTCCTGCCTCACGCTCTCCATCTCCCAGGGCCCAGTGGCAGGCCTGGCCCCAACACCCCTGCAATGCCCACTTCCCACAGAAAACTGGAGCCCGCCCGTTTTCCTCCTGCCACCACGTCTACCCAAGCGCACAGGTGCTGCCTGTCGCGGCAGCGATGGCAGCCACCGGCACCCTCAGCCCGCCCTCCTTCTAGTCCCGGGCCAGGGCCCTCCTTCCAGCCCGCCGGCCCCAAGGCCACAGCAAAGGGAGAGCCGAGCCAGCTTCCCGTGGTCCTCGCACCCTGGCTCGCCCTCGCAGAAGAGCAGCAGCGGCCAGAGGTGGCCCCACGCATGAGGTGAGTCGCAGAGGAGGAGGGACCTTAGCTGACATCCAGGCAACCCCCTCAGGGCAGAAAGCAGGCTAAGGTCAGAGCTGCTGGGCAGGCCGGCCGGCTCCTGGACCCGGAGCGCCAGCTGCCAGGCCACAGCCTCAGGCTTCCCTCACTTACCAGCGCAGCCAGGATATCAGCTTCTCCCTTCGCCTGGCAGCCCTGAATTTTGTCTCTGTCTCTCCTTAGAATACTCAGGTGGTTCAGGATTTTCTCCTGCAGAAAGACAAGCAGTGGGACAGGTGGACGGACGTTCTGGGCCGGGCCCCGGGCGGCAGGAGCCTGCGGTGGCGGCGGGCAGTGCCATGCGGGGGCTCACCCTGCGGGGCTGGGCGGCCTTCTCCAGCAGCACGGCCCCGTGCGGCCGGTGCTCCCGGGACTCCCGGCACAGCACGCACAGGAGCTGCCCGTCGTCCTCGCAGAAATAGTGCAGCTTCTCCCCGTGCCGCTCACACAGCCTCGCGTCCCGCTGCTCCCGCGCCGCGTCCCCCCGCTGCCTGCCCCTGTCCACCCTCAGCCGCTCGATGCTCTCCACCAGGCTGGCCAGCTGCCACACGGGGCGCATGTCCTCCTTCCTGAAGGGCTTCTTGCAGAGCGGGCAGACGGGGCGGCCCCCCGGGGCGGGGCGGACGTCGGCGGCGCAGCTGCGGCAGAAGACGTGGCCGCAGTCGATGGCCGCCGGGTCCCGCAGGCGGTCCAGGCAGATGGAGCAGGCCACCTCCTCCTCCAGGCTGCGCAGCGGCGCGGCCGTGGCCATGCCGTCCTTGGTCCTGGCTCAGAGGGCCTCTGCTCACTGGTGGGCTTCTGCTCCCTGGAGACCAGACATGGAGTCAAGGGCAGACCCAGCAGAGGGCGGCTGGCAGCCCACATGGGGCCACCCCAGCAAGCAGCAGACTTACCAGCTCCCACAGGCGCACCGAACCGCAGCGCGAGAGCAGCTTACTGACATCTAACCCACCCCTCGCTTTACAGATGAGGACACTGAGGCCGGAGGGCGCAGCCTGGAGGGGGGGTGGGGAAAGCAGTCCTGCCTCCAGGCCCCTGCCTTCCGTTACTGATGCAACTATGACAGAACGGGACTCCGGGCTCTGCGGGGAAACTCGTGACAAATACACAAACCTGCACCGTCCACGAGGCAGTGCTCTCAGCTGGGCAGTCCCAGGCGCACAGCCACTCTGGGGCCCCAGGCACTACTCCTTCAGGTTTCAGACTGAGCACTGGGCTCCTCACAAGACCCAGAAGCACCAGCAGGGTGAGCTCTGGCACTTCCTGCGCAGACGTGTCCCTGGCCTGGGCTTTGGGTCTGGCTCTGGTGCCCAGACAGTGAGACTCGCCTGGGGCTGCAGAGCACCCCTTGATCATTGGACTCGCTCCCAGCTGTGCCTCCTCAGAGCTGACCCGGCCGCTCTGCGAGGAAAAGGAGGACTGTCCCGGCTGGGCCCTCGGAAGCCAAAGGCAGGGATGCCAGCCGTGCCCGCACTGTGCGCCGAGGGCCCGGACCCCGCTGAGCACAGCTGCGCACGGAGGACTTCATCCGTTTACCTGTGCCGCCCTGGCCCACTTCCTGACCCTGTGGACAACAGAGAGCTCTTCCAGAACTCAGCCTGTGGAGCCTGAAGCGGAGGGGAACTTACCTTCCAGTTTTCCTGAGCGGGCTGAGTGAAAGCATTATGCTGTGAGTGCTGACCCTGAGACCACGCACACACAGAAGTCTAGGAGAGAATGCACACCCTGGCTCCAAGCCCGCAGTGTTCCGAGCTCGAGGCAGAGCGAGACGGAAAGCGGCAGCGAGGGAGGAACCTGCTCTGCGGTGAATCCTGGCCGCAGGGAGAGGGCAGCAGAGGGCAGAGGGGCACACGGGCCACTGGAGGCCGGAGCGAGCTCACGCGTGCCGGCTGGCAGTGCCACCGGACTGTGTCCTTTGAAAGGCCATCACAACAGAGCCCAGCGGCCTCGTGCCCTTTCATGCAGGGACAGGAATGAGCCCCGGCTCTAAGGCCCGAAGGACAACAAAGTGTGGATGTGATGTCCACTTCAAGAGGACCTCAAGTGAGACGTCAGCGCTCCGTGTGGTGAGTGCTGGCCACTGCCAGCAAGGCCACTGCACGCTCCGCTCGGAGGGGGAGGGACGCAACAGGGGGAAAAGAGGTGCGCTGAAGCTCAAAGGAAGGGGCGGCTGGAATAATGTAACCAGCAAACAAGGTAACAGAAGTTTAGGGCAGGAAGCTAGCACAGTCACTGGCGGGCGGGCCAGCTCCCCACCTGCCTGCCTGCCTGCCTGCCTGCCCACCTGCCTGCCCGCCCGCCTGCCTGCCTGCCTGCCTGCCCACCTGCCTGCCTGCCCGCCCGCCTGCCTGCCCACCCGCCCGCCCGCCCGCCTGCCTGCCTGCCCGCCCGCCTGCCCGCCCGCCTGCCCGCCCGCCCGCCCGCCCGCCCACCCACGAGGCCGAGCTGCGGAGAAGAGGGTCCCAGGCTGGGAGTTCCTTGCCGGCACCCGTGGAGGTCCCCGAGGTTAAAGGTGGAGGCCATTTCCTTTGCTTGTTGGCACTGGCCTTCCCTCTGCTGCAGCTCCAAGGACTGAAGATCAGCACAGCGCCCACCAGCCTGCCAGCCAGCCAGGCCCCGCCCTCGAGAGCACAGCCTTCCCCCCCCCCCCCCCCCCGGGCACATGGCTCTGAGCAGCTTTAAACCCGGGCGCCATACAAACGCCATCCCACACGTATTCAAAAAGTAAAGCGGTCCCGGGGTCACAGAGAAGAGTGGCGAGTAAATGAGGAGGGGTGGCCGATTGGAAAACATCCTCATGCAGGGACAGGAATGAGCCCCGGATCTTTCCTGGGTGCCCACAGCCAGGAGGCGCTGGGGACAGCGCAGTCTCAGGAGCCCAAGAACCTGCCCCTGGGTCAGTGCTTCCCACGCGCCCGACAGAGGAGCCCGCGGTCACCTCGACCTGGCCCCGCAGGGGCCCTGTGGCGCCTGCGACTGGCACGTTACCTTGCCACAGACGTTCGACCCAAATGAACTGAACCGGGCCTTAGACCTAACTTCCAGTTGACAGATCTGAGGGAGAGAGCAATGAGCTAAAACACATCATGAGGAAACAATCAGCTGAGTCCAAAAGATAGGACATTCCGCACAAAAACTGGCCTGCTCTTCTTTTTACTACTAGAGGCCCAGTGCACAAAATTCGCGCACTGGTAGGGTCCCTAGCAGCCGGGGGGATGGGACGGACACACGCAGAGGGCAGGGCCTCCCTTCCTTCCCCTGGCCAGCTCGGCCCCCTGGTCGAACTCCTGGACGAACTCCCAGTCAAGGGGACAATTTGCATACTATGCTTTTATTATATAGAATCCATTTTTAAAGATTTTTTTTAGAGAGAGAGCGAGAGAAAGAGACATTGACGTGAAAGTGTAACATCGATCAGCTGCCTCCTACATGCCCCCTACTGGGGATCAAGCCCTCAACCCAGGCCTGTGCCCGGACCAGAAATGGAACCATGACCATGGGTTGATGCTCACAAGCGAGCCACACAAGCCAGGCATCTCCTGCTTTGTTTTGTTTTTTAAAGAGGCATAAAAATAGTTTGGGGAAAACTGAGGAAATCTGACAAAGGACTAAGTGTTGAATCACATTATGAAGTTACTGTTAATTTTTAAAATGGTATTGACTGAGGCTGGGAGAATGTCCATACTTTAGGCAGTGTGGGCTGCAGTACTCAAGGCTGCATAACTACGACTTACCTTTAAACGCTCCACAACAGCAAATTAGGAAACCTGAGGAGAGGGCCAGCTTTCCACCCAGCTCTGCGGGACCAAAGACGTTCAAAACCACGAGTGGAGAGGCCACGGCGCTCATCACCAGGAAGAGTCAAGGCCACACGCCAGAGCGCTGCGTGGGCCAGAGGAGCTGAAGACAAAACTGCCCGTCCCGGGCATCTGTCAGAGCGTGACACCAGACGAGAGACAAACGGCTATGCTCACGTCATCGCGGGCTGCACGCCCCAGCCCGGGACAGCGTGCATGGAAGGAAGGCCGCTCCGTGCACCTGGACCATGTTCCACCCAGGAGTCAGTGTGTGGTGCGCCATCCCGGTTCAGCAATGGGCTCCGCAGCGCCATGGCCAGGAATGCCACATCTCTGGGCAGACACCTGCTCTCCCACCCCCCATTCCCCAGGCCCCTTGCTTCCTAACAGCTGTCAGTCTCTGCCCTAGCATGTGCTAAACTCTCCCTCAGTTTCCTGTAGCTTCTGCCACCCCGCACCTTCCTGCCTGCCTCCGACTGCCAGGAAGAGGAGGAACCAGGAAGACGCTGAACCCAGATGTGGACTTCAAGGCCTGGAGGGCAAGGGGAGGGGCCTGCTTCTCGAGCTCATGCTTGAGGCTCCAGCCTGCTTCTCGAGCTCATATTTGAGGCTCCAAACAAGATCCCCTTCTTCCTTGCATTTCCAAAGTACTTGACAGAGAGCTCCACGCCCTGTAGGAACCCCACTTAAGGGTGGCATCATTCATCCAATAGGTAACTAGGCATGTTCTGCATGCCTATCAAATATGGCAAAGTCCTGACCTCCCAGAGCTTAAATCTGGGACACAATTGAGCAAACTTTTCTTTAGAAGCTGAAACCAGAGCCACTTGGGGTTGTGCAACGCTCAAGGCCCCCCCCCATTACTGAAGCCTGTCTCCCTTGCTGAGTGCCGTTAGTCCCTCAGACACACTCAGAGCTACCTGCTTCACACCTCTCCTGGCGTCAGGTGCCCCAGGGACAGGCCAATCTCCGGCCTCGCCCTGCGAGGCCTCAGGTCCTCGGCTAGTCTTGCCTCCAGGCTCATTTCCTGCCCCTTTCCACCTCAGACTCCACGCCCGGCCAAGGCAGACCCCCCTCTCAGCCTCACGATGCACCACACTCCTTCCTGCCTGGCCCTCCGAGCTTTTGCGAGCGTTACCCCCTCTGCACAGAGCCCACTCCTTTTCCAGCTGGAAGCCTCGGTTGGAAGCCACCTCCTCCGGCAAATCCCTCTCAGCCGGTAAAGCCCGGACACAGCCACGCTGCACTGGGTACTTCTCTGCAATCGTGGGCTGGCCGATTTAATAGCAGCTTTGCCAAACCTCAGCGGTGGTCTGCCTCACCCCAGAACCCACGCACACTCAGAGGCCCCGGCGGAGGAGGCGGAGGAAGCCGGCAGAGCACCCGGAGCCTAGAAAGGCTTCCTGAGCCCCTGCGAGGTCTCAGCCACGTGCCCTTCTCTCCAGCAAGGCGACCTCTTCACCCTCCCTCAGCCAGCAAGACCCGGCACCACGTCAGGGAGCCCGAGGTGGGAGGGAAACCAGGAGAGCAGGCATGGCAGCCGCAGTGTCCTGGTTTGACAGCTCTGATGCGGAGCTTCCTTCTCTGCTGGAAGCTTCAGAGGAATGGAGTCACACTGCATTTTGGGAGGGAGACTACCAGCATCATGTCTGAGTCCAGGCATTTCCATTGCTTTCTGCCTGTAGAATTTTACTTCCAATGGAGTCTATTTTGATGCCCCCCTGGTTGTCTCCAGTTTGGGACAGTTACAAACTGCTCATTTCTGCACACACGTCCTAGTACACACAGACCAGGAGAGGCAGCCGCAACTGTCTGCACCAGCGCACGTTCCCACCAGCAGGCAAGTGCACCCACACCTGCTATTGTCAGCTTTTCACTTTCTGTCAATTTCTGTGGATGGAAAACAGAATCCCACTGCGTGTGTGTGTGTGTGTGTGTGTGTGAGAGAGAGAGA